AAAACGAAAAAATAGTTTTTTGCAAATTACTCGTAAACTATTGATGCTAGCGAAAAACTTTTATACAGAAATTGTAGATCTCGTCGTCCTCTACAAGAAAGGTCCTATGCAATTTTCCCGTATCTCCAAGTGTTTAGGAGTTATTGACCAAAAACGAAAATTTGGAAGAATTTGAAGGGGTACGATTGGGATACCTTGGAAAAATCTCGGAAAAATCGAAAATTTTTTTTTTGTGGTTCATTATTAGCAATGTTCTTCCGACGTCTGATTTCTTTGTAAAAAATGCGTTTAAAAATGCGTTTCTAAAGTGCATAAGCTTTTGGGATTGACTATATAGCCAATACATGCACTGCATACAGTCCTAAGAGTTCTTACGCGTTCTGAACGATGGAAAAGAAAAAAGACTGCAGCGGCCTCGCCTCGGTATTTTTCATCGATTTTCACGGGCCTTCTCACCGGTAGAAGGTCAACTCTTTAAAGCATGGAAGTGCCACTCCAATTCCTGAATTCCAATTTTCCACCAGAGAGAAAACAGAGTACTTCTTCTAGATATCTACTGCTCAAGGTGTTAACCATTTTCACGAGAGCAATATAAATCGGAGAACTTATTTCCTATTGCAAAATCACTATCTCCGTCTACCGGGAAATAGCAATCGGTTTCTAATTAAATTTCGACAAATAAAATTTCTGCCGTTCAATCGAAATGCAATTATGGGAATTCGTCGTAAGTAGCCGATCGTGGAAGGGTTTCGGTGGGGGCTAACGAGCTCCCGAAAATAGGGGCAGATGGGAGGAGGGATCCCGCTGACTGGGTGAGAGAGGAGATAGTGAAAGCTCCGGGTTGCGAATGCATCGCGAAGGGCAGAGCGCGGCGCTTGCGTATCGTCATCCGCGTTCCTCCCGCGGTCGTCGATACTGCTCTTGTTCGTAGAGCACACACAGTGTCAGTCGGCGCGACCCCGAACGAAAGTGAGAGCACCACGAGAGATCATCCCGAAGCGAAGGGGAGAAAGTCGGCCCGCTCGGCGCACACTCGGCCGCGCGGGACACCCTCGCCGTTCGGCGCACGCAGTCCGCTTTGCAATTCCGCGAGCGCGATACTATCCGCTTCTCAGACGGGCCACGGTGTTCGTCGCGTTTACCTCCTTCCAGGGGCAGAGTGTAAGTAACGCGAGAGGCACCCGTGTGTCACACCTTGCTACTACCGTGAAAACGCGAGGAGAACACCCCATCGGAGATCGATCCCGGTTGTAAACTGCGTTTGCTAGGGGTAAACCTCGTCCCACTCGAGCTACCTTGAAATCATTGACGGCCGCCGCGTTCAAGAACTTTTCTTTCATGCTGCTCTCACTCTTTGATCTCACGTCAGAATGCTTTAATCGTCGAATGTCTGAGATTCCTTTCGATCGCGTTCATCCATATTGTCAGTGAAACGAGGTGAAACTAATAGTGAAAAGATCGTCGAGTCGTTTCGAAGTGAGATTCAGCTGTGGTCGCAGCTTGACAGATTTCAGAGAATACAGTGGCTGCGAACAGTAGTATGAGCTTCATAGCAAAGAATAACAAGCATTTGTCAAAGCGCGGACTAGAAGTGTATGACCCAGAATCAGAAAATAGCTAATGATAAACACGATAGCGTGCCAAGTGCCTTTTGCAGCTAAAAATTATTTTGGTGAAGAAACGATTCGGTGACATGGTGGATGATCAGTATAAACTCACATGACAGTATTAATACGCTGGGAGAATTCAGGTCTGATACGATCGATCGATTTGCTCGCGCAGCCACACGTTTAGTTTCATTCAGAAACAAGCTGGCCAGTTTTCGGATTGAACGGTGAGTGGGGAGAGAGATGGGTGTCGCGCGTACAAGGTGCTACCGGAGTATCATAAATGCGGTGGACACGGTTCAGAGATGCAAAATAAGATGGACTAGTTTTTTGGATGTACTGAAAACGGTAGAATCGATCCGCGGTAATCTTAAAGGGGATGGATCCGGAGGTGTCGATCGGGATATATGAAAATATATGCGTCCATTCGAGGAGTTCTCTGCTTAAACGGTTATAATTTCTACTGAGAATTGGAAAAACGATACGTTTTACACGATCAGAAGTCTGTCGGACGATATCGTAGCTAATTGTGACGCGTCATGCTTTTTAAAGAGAAAAGATAGTGCGGTTCTTCGGATTTAATGGTCGAGGATATGGAAGTATTTCTTTAGCGTTCACAGAAGCGCACCGGACGCGATATTCTTCGAGCAGATACACGTTGTGTCCGGTTGACACACGATAGCAAACTAGATCCTTCTTTGAAGCTAACGTTACCTAATGGACATTCAGGTTGTACGCGAACCTGTGGGAAGCGCTTCCGGTAGGGAAAGAACTGTAACGCGTGGGCAGACCGTCCTCCTCGTGACACCGTTTCCCAATTGCAAATTTCAACTTTATTCCGACTCGGAACGTTATCGTATTATCTGCATAATGCTATTCCAAACTTCCTCGGAGTCATCGCTTTCGTAGAAGCGAAAGATTAGCAACAGTTGGACTCGCGGTAATAGTAAAAAGTTTTCGAGACAAAAATTTTCT